CGAGGTCGGGGGGGTCAGGAGAAGGGGGGCCTCCTCAGTATTGGGGAGTCATAATGTTATGGCTGCTGGGTGTACATGGAGGATGTGAGACACACAGGTAGTACCTCGAATGTCCCGGGGTTCTTGTTCAGGAGCTCCTGACTGTTGCAGAGGTATTGCCACGCCCGGGCACGCAGGGAGGAGGGGATCCCTTTCCTACATCGCAGCTTCACCTGTACAGGAGACCCAAGAGAAGGTTATGGGACCCGCCCATCCTCCCGGTGTGTGCGCTCCCCTATAGGTGGCCGACATAGTCCTCACCTTCTGAAAGCGCCGGGTCAGCCACTTGTCCCAATTATTGAACATGTCCAACCACTTCAGCTCCCTCTGCCGAGCGATCTCCACAGGAATGGCCCCGTCCCTGCAAGAGAGTGACCATCACCGTCATGTCCCTCACCATCCCCCTCCAGACCACTACCCATCAACCACTATTCCATCCTGGGCCCCATCAGACCCCCCATGCCCTGGGTTACCTAGACCAGACCCCTCAACCACTATTCCATTCACATTCATCTACACTGGCAGAGCACCCCGGTGAGGACTACTCCTCAATGCTGATGCAACGCCCCCCTCACATGATGGGCGAGGTTGTTCCCCACACACACACACACATACTGACCCGTTGCCGCTGAACTGGTTTCCTCCCAGGAACCCGTACTTGTCGGTTCTGCGGTACGGCATGCCGTTAATCTCAGAGTCTGAGCCCAGAGAGCTGGCATCATCGAGGTGGGTGAGCGATTCCAGCGTGCCGGACATCAGGCTGACAGAGTCCAGGTAGCTGAGAGTGTCCGGAGCCGGGGCCTTGGACCTGAAGCTGGACAGAGAGGCCGTGTCATGGCTGAAGGAAGGCTCCGGTTCCCGAAGAGATGGAGCATGGCCGGGGTAGAGGGAAGATCTCGGAGGAACGGGAAGTGGGGGTTTGGCGGACATACTCCGGTGAGGACTCGAAGGGTCATTGATACGACTTGGAGACAGCGATGTCCCCGACGGAGGGGGGTGAGCAGGAGGCTGACTGGGAGGGGTGGCATTCTGGTCACTGGGTGCAGCACCAACAATGGCGGGCGGAGCCTTGTCCTTCTCCTGAGTGGTGGCACCGGGCGTCGTGGCATCCCGCGGGGTAGCTGCAGAGCTCTGGGTGGTGCCATCTGGAAGAGTTGTTCCATTGCTCTGTACAACCTCCATGTTGCCTGGCGGGGCGCTAATGTTAGGGGTGAGAGAATTGTGGGGTTGCTCTGTAGTTGGCGTGTCGCGGGATACGGAGGGCCCGCTCTGCCGCGCAGCCTCCATGGGTGGTGGTGGTGGTTCCGGGCCCGGTGTCACAGCTTGTGGAGTTGGGGGCACCACTTTCTCAGCCGCGGTCTCCAACCCAGACGTCTCACGGGGCGCCGCGGTCACTTCTTCAGGCAACGCGCCACGCTTCTGGAGGAGTGACGCCACGGCGCCCGGAGCCTGGTGTCCGCCATCTTGTAGGGTTACCTTTATTGCGGGATCATCAGGCAGAGATCTTCCTTGGCCTGGAGATGGAACGTGGTGTGTTGGGGCGTCCTGTGGTGGCGATGTCCCCGGGGCCAGCATTGCACTGTCCTCCCCTGGCGGTGACACCCGTGGTGAGGGGGCGGCTTCTGGGGGCTATGTCCCCGGGGCCAGCATTGCACTGTCCTCCCCTGGCGGTGACACCCGTGGTGTGGGGGCGGCTGCTGGGGGCGATGTCCCCGGGGCCAGCTTTGCACTGTCCTCCCCTGGCGGTGACACCCGTGGTGTGGGGGCGGCTCCTGGTTCCAGGCCCGGGGGTGCGGCCTCCGGGGCTTTTCTCGGAATGACCCACACAGGTCTGAATTGTGGGGCTTTTCTTGGAGAGTCCCTGGGGGGCGGGATCCGCTGATTTTGGGGCCGCGCGCTTCCATTAGTGACCGTTGCCTGGCCTTCTGTCACGGTGTATTGTGGGGGTAGGGGCCCCACATCCTTCACACTGGGGGTACCCTCAGTTGGGGGCCCCTGGCTCTCTAGTGTGAGGTCTGGCAAACCCCTGGGCTTCTCAGGTGTTGGGGGCCCCCGATTCCCTAGTTTAGTATATTGTGGGGGTACGGGCCCCAGATCCGGCACATCGGTGGCACTTCCAGGCGGTGGGGGGCCCCGGATCTCTAGGTTTGTATATTGTAGTGGTACGGGCCCCAGATCTGGCACATTGATGGTATTACCAGGCGGTGGTGGGCCCCGGATCTCTACGTTGGTATATTGTGGTGGTACGGGCCCCAGATCTGGCACATTGATGGTACTCCCAGGCGGTGGTGGGCCCCGGATCTCTACGTTGGTATATTGTGGTGGTACGGGCCCCAGATCTGGCACATTGATGGTACTCCCAGGCGGTGGGGGCCCCTGGTTCTCTGATTCAGTATACTGTGGTGGTGGGTCCCTCTGACCACCTAGGCCGGTATCTTCTGTGGCCCCCAGACTGGGTGAGGTGATGGAGCGTCCCTCCATGACGATGAGAACCCTCTGGGTGACAGTGGCTCTCTCTGGGGTCCCTGGCTGTCCCCCGGGACTCCTGCCCTCGCTGGGCTCTCTAGGTGGCCGGCGCTCCATGGAGCCCCTGCGGGGAGGCGGCACTGG